AATGCCCCCCACGTCTTATACTCGAGTCAGCATCTCAAGAACTGAGGCAGGCGGGCTCAGCGCGTCTCTGCCGCTGGCCGGGTCTAGCCGGGTCTAGCCCCGTTCGTAAGCTGCTCCGGTGCCCCGGTCTGCTGGAGACTGTCTCCAGCAGACCAGGGGCACTGGGCGGGGTGCCGCGCCTCTGAGGCTTTGCCAGAGCAAAGCCTCAGAGGCACGGGACCCCTCCGCCTCCCCGGCTTTGCTCCAGGTGTCCCTGGTCTGCTGGAGATGGTCCCCAGCAGACCAGGGGCACCCGGAGCAGCTTTTCTCGCCCCGGAGGTCGAGGTGGCGGGACCGCTGCGCTCTGGGCGGTCCCGCTGCCTGCGAGCTCCGGGGCGAGAAAGCCCCGGTCGTAAGTGCGGATCCGACATAAGTCGGATCCGCGTAACTCGGGGACTGCCTGTAGTCATAGTTTCTTCTTCATTGAATACTTTTAGTTCCTTAATGCCTTTGTCCCTGCATAGCTGTACCCAATGAGATGTTCTTTGTTGGCTTTTTTAATATTAAGCCCACATTGCTTCTCTCTGTTCTTGCACTCAGATTGCATTTGTGAGTCATCTCGGGCCAGTCTACATAGAAGAGCTACAGCAATGCAGTTGTCTCAGTGTAGTTGTCACTGAAATGCTTTTGGTGAAGACGTTCTAAGCTGATGGGTAGAGCTCTGCAACTCTGCGGATATACTCTTTATATCTGCAACTTTCTGCATCTCTGGATATGGACGCGGATATATTTACAGATACAGATGTGGATGTGGATACAAATTTTATATCAAGAACCCTGCAAATTTGTGGATATCCACTTAATATCCATAGATATGGATGCAGACATCCACAGTTCATTTTTGTAGATGTGGATACAAATTTAGTATCCACACATTGCTCTAACGATGGCGAACATTCCCCGGTTGGCATAATAAAGCATCTCTGTGAGAAATAACAGCTACGTTGATGGCAGAAGCTCTTCTGCCAACATATTACTGTTGACATCGGCTCTTAAGTTTGTATAACTTACGTCACTCAATGAGATGGCTTATTCACGCCCTTAAAGTTATACCAAAGTAAGTAGTAGTGTAGATGAGCCTGTTAAGTTCAGCAGTTAGCTGAACTTAATAATAAAACATAATGTGAATGGTACCAATAGAGTGCTAGATAGAAACTTGCAGAAGTCAGTTAAATAAAAAATACAGACATCTGATTGCATTTTTTTTAATAACATACAGTTAAGTCCAATAATAATGGATTGGAAGAAATGGTTTGTCAGAATGTTGTGCTGATAACTTTGGCCGGGAAATAAGCAGTGAGGGAAACTGTCAAGATTTCATGGAGCTTGTATTTATAATAATTTGGTCATAAATCATTGTGCTGAACAATGGATCAATTTTTCAGCAATTTGGGGACAATCACTGTATGCAGGGTGTGTTTTTCATGAATGATTGAAAATGTCTCCTACAGGATAAACGATGGCTGTGCTACATTCAGTGTTCTTATAAGAGATCGCCTCTCTTAGTTATAGCTGTCTTTTCTCCTACAAAGTTCAGTACAGCCCTGTGCGAATAAAAATTGGTATCCTCGTCTGCAAAAAATGATCCACAGATAGCTACATCCCTAGCTTAAAGCAGATATCCGCAGATTTGCATCCACATCCCTAGCTTAAAGCAGATATCCGCAGATTTGCAGGGCTGTAAAGATCAGGTTTACTTGGACCATCTTAGATTCCTTGCACACCCAACCCCCCACTGACCTCAGAAACAGTCCCCATCTTAGTGGCTGCATAGAACAGCAGGGATAGCTCCTTGGAGAATTTTATTACAAGAGAGCAGAATTCTTCCTGGAGCTTTCCAGCAGACAAAGGGAAGTGCCCTCTACATTCGATCTATGTGAAGGCCTGTGCAGTGCTTTTCGAAGGCTCAGTGTCCTATTTAAAAGACCTGGAGTAGTGACACTTACCTGATAATTTTCCCCTCACATTCTTCAAACCAAAACGATCAGCACTTGGGAATGGGAAAGAAGTGGATGGGGATTAAAAGGGGATCAATGGCTTTAAGGGTGAGTCGTAGAGCGTGTATGTGTTCCATTTGTGCTAGCCCTAAATCATGCTAAATGGCACCATCTTCCCAGCGGAGTAGGTATGATGACTGATTACATGGATTTGGGGAGAAATTCACCTTTCTCTTTCTCACAAACATGCAGATGTGCACGTGCACACATCACCCAGTAAATGTGCCTTTTGTTGGGAACTAAGCAAGGGATTGGGGGTGGTCTACCACCTGACCATGGTCACTGTTACAGACCCTCTGCTCTTCTGGCTCCTATCCCAGCGACTGAATTTCTCATTTAGTGAAGAACTGACTTTGTAAGTGCTTGTATACTCGGTGAGCTTTAATCTCTAAAGAGAATATTAATTTAAAGCATCTCACAACTTAGAGTGTTGCAAACACACAATTTTAATAATAAATGACATCGTTCTCTTAAAAAGGAGGCACTTTATGTACTTAGCTATTGTAAACTTCCTTTTTTCACTCTCTGAGTTTCTTAATCAATGCCAGAGGATTTAGTGTGCTTTATTATTATATATCTGATTCAGGTTAAGTTCAAGTTTACTTAACTATTCAGTTATTGGTGGAGGGTTTGTTTTTTGGCAGATGTATATTGAACAAAACAAGTTGAAAAGACAAAGTCATCTGCTTCTGCAAAATTGTGCTCCTGATCAGCAGCTTTTGAAAGCTTTAGATGAAAATGCCAAGTTGACCCAAACATTGGAAGAAGAGAGACTTCAGCACCAACAAAAGGTAGTGTAAGATTTTTCAACTGCTACAGGATTTTCGATAGTTTATCAAACACATATTAATTACCACTTATTAAAAGTTATTAGCGGAGTTAAATGTAGAGATCCAGTCCTCTTCCTATACCCTGTCTCTTTGAGTCGTTGGTATGGTTTGAAAACAAAATCTTTAGTCTTATGACCTATTTCCTTTCTTCAAGACAGCAGGTAAGCACATGCTTAGTTTTAAGCATGTACTTAAAATTGCAGATTAGATTTCAGCATTTTCTTTCTTGAGTCAGTTCTGGAAAGCATGATCCTTGAACACTGAAGGTAAAGGAACGACCTCACTAGCTAGTAGTTATAGGAGGTGCTTAACTCTTATGAACTAGCCACTAAACACAAATCAGAGTATGTGCTAGTCTGGATTACCAAAGCACTAGGAAACCTCAATGGATGATAAATTAGAGTATTGTTTTTTAAATTAACATGGCTGATGTCACATTGACAAGTGTTAGTATGTATATACCATGGGGAAAGCGGTGATTTTTCAGGAAGAAATTAAATGAAGATAAAGTAGGATTCAGATATCTGTGATGGGGAGGTGATTCCAGAGATATAGGAAAATGAGAGCAATAGAAGGAAGTATAAATACCACAATATCGAGGAACTATTGAATAAGATAGAAATGGTAGAAAACGCTGTGCATATGGGTGCTCTGGAAAACCCTATTGTTATGAATGGTCTGAGGGAGATGTCATCTTTGATCTTTACAGATCTCTGAAGTAAGACTGTGCAGTATATCACTGTATTTATTAGGGATGTAACAGTGCAGCCATTTAGTTAACCCAGGGATAGTTAACCCAGAGGTGGCCAACCCATTTAACAAAGAGAGCTGAAACAGCTGCGGAATAAATGCAAAGAAGCTGCACCAGAATTGTCAAGCAAAAAAAAAAAAAAAAAAAGGAGGCTACCTCTTTAAGGAGAAAGCAAGCTTAGGCTTTTTCAGCCATATCAGGCTCCTGTTGGTAGCCGTCATCTTTGGTGCCATTTTGAATCACTGACCCAGTGAGCACAGGGGAGCCGGGGGTCATGGGAGGGTGGGGTGCAGGAGCGGCTTCATGAGCTGCACTTTTGGTGGGGTTGGCCACGGCTGAGTTAACCTATAAGCATGAGCTTATTGGTTATCATAATGGTTACACGCCACCTCCAAGCCTAGCTCCTAGGGAGCGGCTTAAAAGCTGGCTCCCAGCATGCACTGGCTCCCTGGGAGAAGGGCAGCAGGCAGGAGCCGATGCTCAATGGGAGCCGGCTTAAAAACTGGCTTCAGGTGTGCACCAGATGCCAGGGATCCAGCTGCCCTCCTGCACTGTGGGCTTTGCAGTCTGATGTTCAAACTGCAGAGCCTGCAGTACAGCTGGCTCCCCAGAAGTGGGGCTGGGAGCCGGCTACCAGTTCACACTGGCTGCCGGTTCTGCTCCCAGGGAGCCGGCTACGCTGCAGTGTAGGCTTTATACGGCAATACCCATAGCACGTAACTGTGTATCCACTAACATTTTTAATGATTACACAGTTTTTAACATCCCTAGAGTTGATGATCATCTCTACCAGCTGAGGAGCTGCACCTAAAACTCACTGTAGTTCTCAGTGTGTGTATATACCATAGGGTAATAGTCCCCCAATTTTTTTGTCCATGAATTCCACCCCACCCCCCAGAAGCCATGATGGAGTCAAGTCCATGGTCAGGAGTGGGGCTGGTGCTGCATCTGGGGACTCAGAGCCAGAAACAAACCCCTGGAGGAGCTGGGAGCAGAGCAGGGGCCAGTGGCTGAGTCCGTGGCTGAAGAGAAAGAGACTGAGCATGGGGGCTGGCTGGGTCTTTGCTGCAACCCTCTGAATATGTCCCCTCACCTCCCACTCCATAGTTTGGGTATCACTGCCATAGGATGGTGTTCAGTAGCTGCGTACGCATGCACACACACAGAGAGAGCTTGGTAGTTCATCCATTGATAACTGTATGAACCCCTGAAGGAGTGAGTTTTAAAATTATAACCTTTAAACAGAACCAAATAATTTTAGAAAGCACATTAATATTTTCCTCGAATGAAGAAGCATTAAGAAACCATTCAAGTAAGACGATTAAATCTCGGCAAAGAGAAGAATGCCTTAGACATTGAGCATTGGCCTGCTAAACCCAGGGTTGTGAGTTCAATCCTTGCGGAGGCCATTTAGGGATTGGGGCAAAAATTCATCAGGCATGGTACTTGGTCCTGCTGTGAAGGCAGGGGACTGGACTCGATGACCTTGCAAGGTCCCTTCCAGTTCTAGGAGATAGGCAATCTCCATTATAAAACTATAAAACTTAGACAGACATTCCTGGTCTGGAGATGTTTGCAAAACAAAATTGGGGTTAGATTAGAAAATTAACAATGAGGTCTTTGTGACTGTCTGTCAAAAATATTTGCTTAAAATAAAATATTTGCTTTTCATTTATTTTACTGCAGTTTACAGTATTCCTGCTAATCTGATATTTTGTAAGGTCTGTAGTGTCTGGTAAATTGCCCATCTATTCATCAAGGCAAAAGACAGACTGAACATTTATTTTTTTATTGTAATAATGTCCGGTGTTTGCCATCTGCAGGTTAAAGAATTAGAAGAGAAGCTAGAAAATGAAGCACTACGTAAGGAGATTGGCTGTCTTAAACAGCAGCTGGAACTTCTGGAAGAAGATAAAAAGGAGTTAGAACTAAAGTGTCAGAACGCTGAAGAAAAAGTTAAAAACCTAAAGCATTCAGGTAAAATCACATAATTAAATTAAGTTTAAAAGTGAAATTCTCTCCAGGGTTACTGGTGCACACTTAATAGATTTATACATAATACTCTTGAGATGAAGCCATGAACATCTGTGCATATCTGGTGTTTCACAATACGAGCTTCAGCAAATCCACTCAACAAAATGTCCAGAATTTATTTAGTAGAAAAATGTCTAAAACTTTTGTGGCATTATTATGGGCATTCAAACCTTCCTGGAGAATAAGAAGTTAAAGGAACTGCTCTGGTTCAGGCAGCCCTGTCCAGCCACACTTGTAAGGTCTGAAGAAAGTGGAGGTAGGACTTTAAAAAGGGAAGTAAAACAGCTCAGAGGTAGTGGGCAGTGGAAGGGAGCAGACAGTGGCTCTGAGGGAGAAGTGTCCAGGAACTCATTGTCTAAGACCTGACATTGCAGATCTGAGCAAACCCTGTAAAGGAGAGCCAAGTGACTTAGTGTGCAGCTTAGAGTACATCTACACTAGCCCCCTAGATTGATCTAGGGAGGCTAATGAGGGCAACCGAAATTGCAAATCAGGCCCGGGATTTAAATATCCTGCGCTTGATTTGCATGTTCCTGGCCGGTCGCCATTTTAGAAATTGACTAGTCTGAAGTAACTGCCCAAGTCTACATGTGGCAGTGAAACGGGATTCCGATTTAAAGCCCTAACTTGAATTAGCTGGTATTCCTCCTGCAGTGAGGTTTACCAGCTAATTTGATTTAGGGGCTTTAAATCGGAATCATAAATAGAACATGACTGTTCTTCCCTGAGACACACACACGGCTTATCATATTGCAACCCTAGTATACAGATGATGGGGATGGCGGGAGAGGAGTTTCCATATGCAGAAAAGTTTCCATATGTGGAATAGGGATGTGAGCGACTAGTAGAGTAGTTGACTCATTTACAAAGTGGAAGTTAAATCCTAGTGAGGAAAATAGAAAGGAGCATAACTGTGTCAAATTAAGTGTAAAAAATATAATAAAGCCAAAAAGGAGTTTGAAGAGCAGCTAGCCAAAAACTCAGAGAAATAGCAAAATGTTTTTAAATACATCAGAAACAGAAAGCCTGCCAAGCAACCAGTGGGACCCCTGAACAATAAAGAGGCTAAAGGAGCACTCAAAGGTGATAGTCATTGCACAGAAACTACATGAATGATTGAGGATATTAGGGAGATTCCCAAAAAATAAATATTCTCTTTAGGTGACAAATCTGAGGAATTGTCCCAGATTGAGGTGTCATTAGATGAGGATTTGGAACAAATTGATAAACTTAACAGTAACAAGTTACTGGGGCCAGACAGTATTCACCCAAGAGTTCTGAAAGAACTCAAATGTGAAACTATTAACTGTGGTTTGTAACCTGTCCTCTAAATCACCTTCTGTGCCTAATGACTGGAAGATAGCTAATGTGATGCCAATAATTAAAAAGAGCTCAAGAAGTGATGTTGGCAATTCCAAACCGGTAAGCCTAACATCAGTACCAGGCAAATTAGTTGAAACTATAGTAAAGAATAAAATTGTCCAGACACATAGATGGACATAATTTATTGGGGAAAAGTCAACATGGATTCTGTAAAGGGAAATAATGCCTTACTAATCTACTAGAATTCCTTGAGGGGGTCAACAAGCACGTGGACAAGGGGGATCCAGTGGATATAGTGTACTTAGATTTCCGGAAAGCCATTGACAAGGACCCTCACCAAAGGCTTTTAAGTAAAGTTAGTTGTCCTGGGATAAGAGGGAAGGTCCTGTCATGGATTGATAACTGGTTAAAAGACAGAAAACAAAGGGTATAAATTAATGGTCAGTTTTCAGAATGGAGAGAGGTAACTTATGGTGTCCCCCAAAGGTCCATCCTGGGACCAATCCTATTTAACCTATGTATAAAAGTGATCTGGAGAAAGGGGTAATCAGTGAAGTGGCAAAATTTGCAGATGATACTAAACTGCTCAATATAGTTAAGACCAAAGCAGACTGTGAAGAGCTTCAAAAGTGTCTCACAAAAGTAGGTGATTAGGTAACAAAATGGCAAATGAATATTAATGTTGATAAATGCAAAGTTAGGCATATTGGGAAAAAAAATCCCAACTATACATATAAATGAGGGAAATAATTTATCTATATCCACTCGAGAGAGATCTTGGAGTCATTGTGGCTAGTTCTCTGAAAACATCCATTCAGTATGCAGCAGCAGTCAAAAAGCAAAGAGAATGTTTGGAACTCCTTGCCAGAGGATGTTGTGAAGACCAGGACTTTTAACAGGGTTCAAAAAAGAACTAAATAAATTCATGGAGGTTAGGTCCATCAATGGTTATTGGGTAGGATTGGTTTCCCAAGCCTTTTTTTGTCATCCTATCCCTTTGTAACCTATCCCTTAAATCGGCTTCCGTACCTAATGACTGGAAGATAGCCAACATGACACCAATATTTAAAAAGGGCTCTAGAGGTGATCCGAGCAACTATAGACCGGTAAGTCTAACTTCAGTACTGGGCAATTTAGTCGAAACAATAGTAAAGAATAAAATTGTGAAGCATGTAGAAGAACATAATTTATTGGACAAAAGTCAACATGGTTTCTGTAAAGGGAAATCCTGTCTTACTAATCTGTTAGAGTTCTTTGAAGGGGTTAACAAACATGCGGACAAGGGGGTTCCAGTAGATATAGTATACTTACATTTTCAGAAAGCCTTTGACAAGGTCCCTCACCAAAGGCTCTTGTGTAAATTACATGGCCATGGGATAAGAGGGAAGGTCCTTTCTTGGATTGAGAACTGGTTAAAAGACAGGAAACAAAGGGTAGGAATAAATGATAAATTTTCAGAACGGAGAAGGGTAACTAGTGGTGTCCCCCAAGGGTCAGTCTTGGGACCAATCCTGTTTAACTTATTCATAAATGATCTGGAGAGGTGAGCAGTGAGGTGGTTAAGTTTGCAGATGATACCAAACTGTTTAGGATAGTCAAGACAGAAGCAGACTGTAAGGGACTCCAA